AACATATCTAAGCTTTTCGTCCAGCTTCACTTCAGTCAATGGCACCGTTTCTTCATGTTTTCCAAGACATTTTCGGAGATACCCGACATGGAAGACATTGTGTATTCCGCTGAGCTCTTCAGGTAGCTCCAATCTATATGCTTGTTTTCCAACACGCTCAATGATTTTGAAGGTCCTACAAAACAAGGACTAAGTTTACCCTTCTTTCCAAATCTCATAATACCCTTCCATGGTGAAACCTTTAACATTACCATGTTGCCAACTGAAAACTCTATTGGCCGTCGCCGTTTGTTGGCATATGACTTCTGTCTATCTTGTGCCGCTTTCATTCTTTCACGAACGATTTGAATCTTTTCATGAGTATCTTGTATCAATTCTGGACCAGCCAAGACTTTCTCTCCTGTTTCATGCCAACATAAAGGTGTACGACACTTTCGCCCGTATAACGCCTCAAATGGTGCCATCTTGATCGATGCATGGTAACTGTTATTGTATGAAAACTCCGCTAATGGCAAATACTTTTCCCAACTACCTCCAAACTCTAGTACACACGCACGTAACATATCTTCCAAGGTCTRAATCGTTCTCTCTGTCTGTCCATCGGTCTGTGGGTGATACGCTGTGCTAAGAGCAACACGCGTCCCTAACTCTCTCTGCATGCTCGTCCAAAAGTTTGAAGTGAAACGAGTGTCACGATCTGAGACTATTTTAATTGGTACACCGTGCCTAGCAATAATTTCATTCAAATATAACTGTGCCCACATATTAATTGAATAGGACTCGCGAACAGCAAGAAAATGAGCACTCTTCGTCAGTCTGTCTACAATAACCCAGATACTATCGTGTTGCTTGGACGTCTTCGGTAGTTTCGTAATCAAATCCATAGATAGTTCTTCCCACTTCCACACAGGCACACTAAGAGGTTGCAAGCTCCCATAAGGTTTCTGATGCTCAACTTTAACTTGCAGACACGTGGTACACTCTYGTACGAAACGACCAATATCCGACTTCATTCCTGGCCACCAATAATCTAACCGCATATCTTGATACATCTTTGTAGTCCCAGGGTGAATCGACAACTTTGATTTATGCGCTTCAGTCAATACAATCTTCCTCATTCCTCCAAGTTTCGGTACCCAAATACGATTTCTGAACACTTTTAATCCACGACTATCTTCCGATAATGAATCCAAATAACAAATCATTCGCTCCGATTTCACATGTTTCTGTTTCAAAGCCTTACTTTGCCATTTCCGTAGGTCATCCATAAGTGTAGATTTCACTGTCATATGAGTAATAACATAACAAATCCCAGTTCTGTGAGCCTTTCTACTCAATGCATCCGCTACTACATTGGCTTTACCCGGGTGATAGAGAATCTCACAGTCATAATCTTTGATAAGTTCCATAGCTCTTTGTTGTCGCATATTCAGTGTTTGTTGATCGAAGATATATTTCAAACTCTTGTGATCTGTGTA